CAGACCCACCAGCTTCTTCACAGTAGAAAGGGGAGCCTTTCTGTTCCCGTGAAGATGTACAGTCTGGGGGACTGTATATTGGGCTTACTAAGAGTTGGGATTAATTTGATGGCAGGAAATTTTTTTTTTCTGGGAGAGGGGAGCAGGGGCTTGGAGGCAGAGTTTGGTTTTATGAACATTTAAGTAAAATGTTCAGTGAGAGTGGCTCAGTAGCTTTTGTAATGACAAACAATTAGTCTTTAAATTTTGCTCTATGGCTGCCTTTTGGAAAAATATAATCCTTTCCATAAGTGAATCTCAAAGATCTTTATCAGGAAGACCTTTCCATCCATGAAAAGTACAGAAAAAGACGAATCATGGAAGGCATGGAGTGTTTGGTTGGAAAGCCACACAACCAACCATTTAATTCAACTCCTCCAATTTGCAGATAAGCAGTCTGAGACCAAGGATTAGATAGCAGCAAACTGGCAGTTCTTGGAAGTGAACCGATTCTGTTGTGATGCTGCTTCTGTAGTGTCCTAGTGTGTTCACGACAAGCAAAGCATTTCCTACCTCCTCATGATGATATGTGACTAAAGTAGCATTTGAGCAAATATATAAAAATCCTAAGTTTTGGAAAAGTACATTAGTTTTATCCTACTTAAAAATTATTTTTAGTAGAATTTGGGTTCTTGATTATGTAAAATTGTGTCTACCACCATAAGAATTCATCTCAGGAAAAATTGCAATGTCTAAGAAATTAGGAACTTGGGTTCCTCAGTTGATAAAGCTATTTCTAGTTCTTTCTGAGAGTCATTGATGATTGTGCCAAGGTCTTGAGGCGGTATGCCTCCTGTTTTTCCACCTTGGTAGGATTTAAAGGTTTGTTTTATCTCTTTACTATCTTTGAAGAGCAATAACAGCATTCAGAAGATACTTTGCCTGGCTGAGTTCATATTCCTGCTATATCGATTGTTGAATGGCCTTGAGGAAGTTATTTTACCTCAGTTTCCCCCTATGTAAAGTGCGGCTTTATGTGAGGTATTACCAAGTTAGGAACATTCATACATGTTAGCTGCTGCTATTGTTACTGCCCATTCTTACCTAAAAGACTGTCTGAACCCATTGGGCCTCTATTCAAGTACTCCCTCAACACAAAAATACTTTGTTCTAATAACATGGCATTTTGTGATGCTCATCTTCCCAACACGATTGCTGAAGACAAAATGGGTGCATAAGCAAATGTGGTGAAGAAAGCTTAAGGTGTCCGGTTATCAAAAGATACAGCATCTGGGGTCTTAATGGCTTTGAGATAAGCAAGCGGCCATCTAGCTGGGAAGCAACGAAGCCCACATGGAAGAAGCACACCAGCCTGTGTGATCTTGAGGTGTCAATGGGATCAGACATCAGAAGACCCAGAACAAACAATCATATTGATGTGAGCAAGGGTGGGGGCACCCAAAGCCCATCTGTAGACACTTGGACATCCCTTCGCAGAAGGGTCACAAGGAAGAGATGAGCCAGCCAGGGTACAGTATAGCATGGACGAAACATACAACATTCCTCTAGTTCTTTAATGCTTCCTCCCTCCACTATCATGACCCCGATTCTACCTTACAAATCCTCCTAGACCAGAGAATGCAGACTGGTACAGAGCTCTCAACACACAGAATTCCAGACAGATAAACCCCTCAGGAACAGTAATGGAAGTAGCAATGCCATGAGGGTAGGGGAAGGTGGGGGGAGAAAGGGAGAACTGATCACAATGATCGATACATAACCTCGCCCTTCCCAGTGGGGGATGAATAACACAAATGTGGGTGAAGGGAGACAGTGGTCAGTGTGAGATATGAAAATAATAATAATTTATAAATTATCAAAGGTTCATGAGAGAGAGGGGGTGGGTGAGGGAGGGGAAAAAATGAGGAGCTGATACCAAGGGCTCAAGTAGAAAGAAAATGTTTAGAGAATGATGATGGCAACAAATGTACAAATGTGCTTGACACAATGTATGTATGTATGGATTGTGATAAAAGTTGTAAGCCCCTAATAAAATGATTAAAAATAAATA